CCCCTCTCTCCTGATTTGTCCCTCCCTTTTTTCTCTCTCTCCTCATGTGTCCCTCCCTCCCTTTCTCTCTCCTCTCCCCTCTCTCTCTTTGCATCTCTTTCTCTCCCCCTCTGTCCTCATGTGTCCCTCCCTTTTCTCTCTCTCTTTCTCCCACTATCTTTTTTCATTTGTCCCTGCCTCTCTTTCTCTCGCTTTTCCTTTCCATCTCTCTCTCTCTCTCTCTCTTTTCATCTCTTTCTCTCCCCCTCTCCTCATCTGTCCCGCCCTTTTCTCTCCTCATGTGTCTCTCCCTTTTCTCTCTCTCTTCTCATTTGTCCCTCCCTCTCCATCTCTTTCTCTCCCTCGTTGTTTTTCTTTCCATCTCTCTCCCTCTCTCTCCTCACTTGTCCTTCCCTCCCTCTCTCTCTCTCCTCTCCCCTCTCTCTTTGCATCTCATTCTCTCCCCCTCTCTCCTCACGTGTCCCTCCCTTTTCTCTCTCTCCTCTCCTCATGTGTCCCTCTCACCCTCACTCCCGCTCTCTCTCAACATCCTCTATCTCTCCTGCTTATCTCTCGTTTCTCTCCCTCTCTCCTCTCCCTCTCTCCTCTCCTCTCCCGGTGTGTCTGCGGGCTGTGACGTGACTGCTTTTAAAATGCACTGGTCTCTGAGGCAGGTGTGAAATTGTTTGTGTGTGGAAAGAGGAGACGTGCTTAACCATGACTTGTCTGGGTTTAAGGCAGCACACGATCTGTTTTCATGGTCCAGGGCGGCTCCGGTCCTCGCCGGCTTTTACAGTTGGTTCACCGACTGACTACATCAAGACGGGAGAGCCTTTTAACGTGATACTTACACTATTAGCGATGGCGGCGGTTAAATAAGAACTACGAAACAGGACAGAGGATGATTAGGGAAAGTGGTTTAGATCGCATTTTAAATACAATCATAGAAAAGATATAAACAAATGTGAAAGTGCGAATGTCTACAATTTTTGTTATCACATAGGTAAAACTAAATACCCTATTTTTCGGACTATAATTCGCACTTTTTTCACGGTTTGGATGGTCCTATTTTGGTGCACCTTATATATAAAAATTTTCACACTGACAGCCGTGAGAGGGCGAGATGAAATGTCAGTTCCTGGTCTCTGATTTTATAAAATAAATTTCCCCCAAAAAGTCTGACTTATATATGTTTATTTTCTTCTTCATTGTGCATTTTTTGGCTGGTGCGACTTATAGTCCGAAAAATACGGTATATATGTTGTTTCTAGGGGTGTGCAAAAATATCAAAATATCAGAATATCGTATCGTTTAATGTGATGATACAGTATCGATATCATGGGCTGCTGTATTGATATATCATCAAGAGTATTTTTTGGTATATTTTACTTAATTATTTTGTTACAGCGCTACAGTTTTGTTGCTTGTTTAGTGGAAGGAAACTCGTTTACGCAACAAACTTGACATTTTCACTGTTTTGTTGATTAAAATGTGTGTTTTTCATATGAACTTTGCACAAGAAGTGATTTAACAAACATTTTTAGTATCACAGCCATGATTTGACCTTTATTTTTATTGAACCGTATCGAATCAATTTGAAATATATCGTATCGTACTGAAAGTGCACTGTTTCGAGATATTTATTGTATCGTAGCCTGTGTATCAAGGTATTATTGTATTGGCAACTTCTTAATGATACCCAGCCCTAGTTGTCTCCTCATCAAACATATATCTGCCGCTGCGTTTTGTTTCGTTCACACGTTTAACTCACAAATCCTACCACTTAGTGCCTCCGCTCAATTTCATTTCTCTCCAGCGACTAAGTCAGAAATCAGAATACACTAGACGGTTTGCAAGAACCTCGGAAGTGCGAGTTCGGGCACCAGCCAATCAGCGAAGAGCCATACATTCTGTGTTGGCGATTCCCGAGATTGAGGATTTAAAGCCGGAACAAAGAGAATGTTTGATGAATTTTATCAAGGGGAAAGACGTTATTGTCCTTCTTCCTATGGCATTCGGGAAAAGCTTAATACACCAATTAGCCCCGTTAGTGGCGCATTACATACGTCACGACCGAATAGCAGCGATTAGTTAAATAAAAAAAGTACCCGCCTACCGTCGAGTGAACAAATCCTAATGCTGCGAGGTCAGACGGTTTCCACAAAGTGAAACCGTGCTGATGAATCAGGCTACACAAATCCTGCATATTTAGGCCAAATTCTTTACTCTCAGACAGAAAACACTGTTTCAACTTGTGATGTCATGTGGTAGACAATACAGGACGTGCTTCACTGTGTTTTTAAACTTCATACACCTTCACCAGAATCATTTGGATTATTGTCATGCGCTGGAATTTCCAATATGTGCTGAAGAAATGGTAAAAGGAAGCTGTTAACTTGAAAACATACCATTTCATGACATCACAAGGTGGAACAGGGAGCATTTTGAGCTTTGGAGATGTAGACAGACTAATAATAAAGCGTTACTCAACATGTGTGAATGAAACGAAACACAATTCAGGTTTGTTTTTGAGCAGGTAACAACATAACAACATGGTTAAATGTGCACAAGAGTCAATTTTGTGTAATGTAGGACCATTAAGAAGTAAATAAATTGGTAGCATTTCGTGAAAAAAAAAAATGTAATGTCTAGTCTATAAAAAGGTAAGCTACATTTATGGGGAATAATAGACTGGATTCTGTAATAGAAATAGCCCTGTCCAGCCCCATTCTGCTCTGTAGCACTCAAGTGGAAAAGCGCCTTATGCTATCACGTCTAGTGTCTGGTCACTCACCCACCATCTCTGTCTCCCTCCTCCACTCTCCCCTTTCACTCTCTCTCTTTTTCCCCTCTTCTGCTCCTTCTCCTCTCTCTCCTTTTCTCCCCCTTTCTATCTTTCTTTCCAGATCTCCCCTTTCCTCCTTCCTCTGGCTCGTTCTTCTCCCTCCTGTGCGAGGCTCTAATCTTTCCCTCGTTTTCTGTACCTGGGGTGGCTCTTCTCTTCTCTCTTTCTCTCTCTCCCTCCCTCCTCTCCTCTCCTTTTGCATGACCTGTCCCGGCTCTCCAATATACAGCTCTGCAATGTTTGGTGGGAGACGCGATGTTTATTGTATACTGTCAGCTCACAGTGAAAGTTACAGTTTTAAAGTAGTGTATTTATTCAGTCAACATCTCGCCGCTCTCTTTTGTATTACCTGGACTGGCCCTCCTGTGCGACACTCTGCTCCTCTCTCTCTCTCTCTCCTCTCTCTTCTTTCTTGCTCTCCACCTTTATTGTTTTTTTTTATGTAATCAAACTTCTGGTTCCATCACTCCTCCTCTCTCTCCTTCTCTCTCCACGCTCCCTCTCCTCTCCTTTACCTGGGCTGGCTGAATCAGACTCACTCCTCTCTCTCCTCCTCCTCTTTCTCTCCCTCTCTTTCGCATTACTGGATTCGTGTTATTGTGTGAGGCTCTTTCCTCTTTCCTCTCTCCCCTCTCCCTCTCCTCTCCTTCACCATTGCTGGTTCTCATGAATCAGACTCTCTCCCTCTGTTTTGCATTTCTGGGTTCACTCCATTGTGTAAGGCTCTTTCCTCTTTCCTCTCCCCCTCTCCTCTCCTTTACCTGGGCTGGCCCTCCTCTGTGAGGCTCCACTCCTCTCTCTGCTCCTCTCTCTCCCAGTTTTCTCCCCTCCTCTCTCTCCTCTCCTCTCTCTCTCAACTCACTCTTCTCCCCTCTCTTCTCCTCTCTCCTCCCCTCTCCCAACTCTCTCTCCTCCTCTCCTTCTGTCTCTCTCTACTTCTCTCTCCCAACTCTCCCTTCTCCTTCTCTCTCTCCTCCTCTCTCTCCTTCTCCCTCTCCTCCTTTCTCTCTCAACTCTCTCTTCTCCTCTCTCGCCTCCTCTCTCCTCCTCCTCTCTCCCCCAACTCTTTCACCTTCCTCTCTCTCCTTCCCTCTCCTCCTCCTCTCTCTCCAACTCTCTCTCCTCTCCCCTCTCTCTCCTTCACCATTGCGCTGGTTCTCATGAATCAGACTCTCTCCCTCTGTTTTGCATTTCTGGGTTCACTCCATTGTGTAAGGCTCTTTCCTCTTTCCTCTCCCCCTCTCCTCTCCTTTACCTGGGCTGGCCCTCCTCTGTGAGGCTCTGCTCCTCTCTCTGCTCTCCTCTCCCCTCCACTCCTCTCTCTCCTCCTCTCTCTCCCAGTTTTCTCCCCTCCTCTCTCTCCTCTCCTCTCTCTCTCAACTCACTCTTCTCCCCTCTCTTCTCCTCTCTCCTCCCCTCTCCCAACTCTCTCTCCTCCTCTCCTTCTGTCTCTCTCTACTTCTCTCTCCCAACTCTCCCTTCTCCTCTCTCTCTCCTCCTCTCTCTCCCAACTCTCTCCTTCTCCCTCTCCTCCTTTCTCTCTCAACTCTCTCTCCTCTCTCTCTCTCTCTCTCTCTCTCTCTCCTCTCTCCCCCAACTCTTTCACCTTCCCTCTCTCCTCCTCTCTCTCCTTCCCTCTCCTCCTCTTTCTTCTCCTCTCTCTCCCAACTCTCTCTCCTCCCCCTCTCTCTCTCCTCTCTCTCTCTCCTCATCTCTCTCCTCTCTCTCTCCTCCTCTCTCTCAACTCTCTCTCCTCATCTCTCTTCTCCTCTCTCTTCTCCTCCCCTCGCTCTCCCAACTCTTTCACCTCCCCTCTCTCCTCCTCGCTCTCTTTCCCTCTCCTCCTCTTTCTCCCCCTCTCTCTCTCTCAACTCTCTCTCCTCATCTCTCTTCTCCTCTCTCTTCTCCTCTCCTCCTCTCTCTTCCAATGCTGTCTCCTCTTCTTTCTCCTCTTTTCTCTCCTCCTCTCTTTCTCAACTTTCTTTTGCATTTCCTGGGCAGGTAAGATAATACTGTTCTTTAATGTAATCTAAACTTTGGTTCCATCGCTCTTCCTCTCTCTTCCTCTCCACGCTCCCTCTCCTCTCGTTTACCTGGGCCGGCTCTCCTGTACAAGGTTCTACCCTTCTTCCGTCCCTCTCTCCTCCCTCCCTCCCTCCCCTCTCCTCTCCTTTACCTGGGCTGGCTCTCCTGTCCCAGACTCTCTCCTTTCTGGTATGCGTGGTCTGCGATCTGAGTGGTGGACCTCTTCACGATCTGCTTCAGCTCTGGCTCCAGTCGCTCCATTATGGCTTTGATGGTCTCTGGGATTTTCTTCAGCTTTGCCAAGGCCTACAAAATATACAATCAAATACAACATGATAAAAGGGGTTAGGAATGTTACAAAACAAACCGAGCTTTGATATAGCAAATCATTTTTTTAAAAACTTTTTCAAAGGAGCAATGTAAAAGCATAAATAAAATAAAAGTAAAAAAATGGGAAAACATAGACACTTCACAAAGAATTGCCAATGAAACCCAGTGCCTGATTAGACTTCAGATATAAAAACTGGGACTAAACTTGAGCCCAAAACCTGGAACTAAACGTGGACTAGATCAGGACTGACCTAAGACAAGAACAGGACCAAAGCAAGTCTACATGACGACTAAACTGGGATCAAACAGGACCAAATTAAGAGTGAACACATCTTGAAAATCTATTTTTTCACTACACTTAAAGGTTGTATGGAGGATTTTTTTTTTAGTTTCAAACTGTCAGTGAAAGATTAAAATACCATTACAGAGACGCAGCAGCTTTGTAATTATGATGACCAAAAAAAAAGAACGAAAATCTATCAACTGTGGACGTAGTGAGGCCAGATAAACATCAGCCAATAGAAAACGAGGCTCCCTCATTTTCTATTGGCTGTTGGTTGTCAATCAAACTCCCTAGTATAATTGACTCGTCGGAGCGCGGGGATTACGTGGTTTACGCAGCGGTTTTTAGAGGCTTTTTCGAACTGTCGCTTCCTCGCATTTCGCACAAAGTTTGTCGTGACAGCGGACCAGAATCCACGACCGGTTCGCCGCAAAAGAAAGTCCGTTTTGAGGTCGCTGAAAGAAGAAGAAAAGGAGCAAAGCCAAACTGAGGTGATTCTTGGAGATCTCGTCCAGCGATGGCGCGACCGAAGCAGACGAAGGGTCTAAAAAACTGACGCGTCGGTCGCTGAATTACTTCTAGACAGGAAACTTCAACAGTAATTCTGAATGCGCACAAGGACTGTCACTGTATTTCTTTTCCCTTAAAAAAAATCCTCTATACAACCTTTAATGAAATAATTATTAAATGCATGTTTCTATTAAGTTTCAGTAATTTTCCAAGTGAATAAATGGAATAAATATATGTAATAAATGGAGTAAATAAATAAATATTTTTTCTTCTACTAACTTTTTTTTTTTTTTAGAATTATAGCAACTCAATGTTTTGTTTCTTAAATGGTAAACATTTTCTATTAAGCCCTGTTTAAAGGTGCATTGTGTAACTTTTCTGGTCAAATTGCTTTTCAAACTAGACCAAGTTACAGGTCAGATCTGTGGAGAGGCGACCGCACTCAGAGTCAGAATAGGTGTTTTACTGGGTATTTTTGAGCTATAAAACCATCTGTAATCAAATTAATTTAAGGTAGATCTGTTTTATGTCATACTGTGGAACATTCCAGGCAGAGCATTGACATATCCATAGAAACAAGAAGGTGACGGACCAACAATCGAAAAGTTACACAGAGCACCTTCAAGTTTATGTTAGAAAAAAAAAAATACTACTATTACTACACTGTCCGAGTTAATTAATTAAACATCACAAAAAACTGTCTCACCTTGATCAGAATCCCCATAAACTCTGCGCTGTTTTCCTCTGGGTCGACTTCAGGCAGGTCCCCTTGGTTCATCTCACGGCCATCCTGTTGAACTGAGAGAAGAAACAAAAGTCAGTCGCACAAAACAAGTGATAAACTACAGCCATACTAATGTGCTTGGATATTGCGACAAATTATGATCACATTTTAGACTAAATGAATGCAAGAAACCCATACTAAACTTCAAAGTCTTTCTTATAGGGCCTGACCGATATGGATTTCGTTGTTGCAGATACGATGCCGATAAAATGGGAGTTGGAGCTGCCGATATATTTAGTGATTTCACAGTAAATCTTGAATTGTTTAAAAAAAACTTAGGTTTGGCTCTAGTGGATTTTAAATTGGATTTATTTAGGCAACATTTATTGTTATTCTACCTCTTTAGGTCATATTTACAGACAGTAGGTCGACCTAATGGCATTTTTGCATCACATTCTAGCCAGTAAAGAAACAGTACGGCCACAGAAACAGACAAATGACTCCGCAGATAAATATTGGAGTCTGGTCAAGCGGTAACGGAGGGAAACAGGGGCAGATTTTTTACATTCAAATAGCTCTTATTCAGAAACTACAGGGACTATTGAAATAAGTATCAGAATGTAGGAAAGAGTTAACACTCCAACAGGGTAAAGTTAAACCTGTGATATTCTTTCAAGTTGTTGACAAAAAATTTTAAAACTCATGTTGGTAATGGAGGGAATGAAATATGCAGCACTTTTTGGGCAATAAATACAAACAGTGATACTAGTGGTTCTCACTTACATATCCTTAACAAACTGGTTTGAATATTTGCTTCATATAGTTTTCTACCATATGGTACAAGATTAGGTTGAAAAACCTCTTACTTTTGGAGTAATGAGATTTTTTATTAAGAAAGGTCATGGTAACGGAGGGAAAAGTAACGGAGGGAAAATTGTGCAAACAAGTAGAAGGTAAATGATTTTGCATAATTTGTCAGCTTTTTATTCCCAATACTTTAATATTACTTCAAAATGAAACGTAACTATTTCTATAAAATATGTCAGTCCTTCCAAGCAAATTTTTATCATTTTAAATACATTTTTTTGGAAAAATCATGTACCTTCATCAACAGTTCAAAGATGGAATAACACACGATATGATGAAATACATCCATTTATTTACATGATTTGCAGGTATTTGAAAATTGGGAAATAATTTTTGTTCCATGTTTCATACATGGTCTGTTTAAAACGTATGTAACTTTAGAACCAAAAATGGTACAGAAAAAAGGTAAACAGTTTCATAAACTAGAGTACATATGTATCTGTTGAATACATTTTTATATCAGATGCATTAACTTGAATTTTTGGCCTTGCTGTTTACTTCTGCTTGACCGGGTGCATAAGCAATAAAAACACACCTACAGCGAATAAAGCATGTAAGATTTTAAAATGGCCATACACTATTTTTGTTCGTAGTTGAGTAAAATATGTTCTTCCCCAGTACTGATATACTGTTAAAGGGTCAAAATATGACTCCACTCAAGAATTAAGAAGTGCACTGTTGGCATGCTAGTGTTTCTTAGCATTATCGTGATGGTAAAACTCCACACTGGTCACGCTGGCTGTAAAAAGTGCTTATAAACCCATTCTGATGAATCATTATGAAGTAATTTGAGGACTTTGGACTTCAGCAAACTAGTTCTGGTTTTCATGTTTCTTTTTTAAGACAGTAAAAATCTGGTACAGCATAACACTACCTGTTAAAAGTTTTTAGAACACTGCTCTGCCAAAACTACCTCAGGAAAAAAGAACAAGATGATAAACTTGAAAACATGGACTGTCCAGCACAGTGTCCAGACTTAAACCCCATCGAGCTGGTTTGGGATGAACTGGACAGAAGAGTGAAAACCAAGAAACCTACAAGTGCCACACATTTATGGGAACTTCTGCAACAGACTTGGGAAGAACTTTATGAAGAATATTTGATTTCTATTGTAAAAAGAACGAGCCACGAGTGTGTTCAGCTGTTATATCTGCCAAAGGTGGACACTTTCATGAATCAAAGGTTTATACTACGTCAACAAACAACATCAAACAGTACAAAAATGGTGTTCTAAAACTTTTGACCGGTTGTTTACACAGAAAATAATATTAGTTAAAAGTGTGGGAGGGAAAAAAAAAGAGAAAAGAGAAGGAGAAAAGGAAAAATTTTATTATAAATTGGCCAAAATATCAATATAAGGAGGCCTAGCAGTGCGGTTATGCTGCACTACCACATTATTTTTGTTTTATTTTACTAAATTTGTGTCAGTGTTTGTGTTTGTGTTTGGGGTGTGTGTTTGTTGTGGGTGTTGCTCTACGTTTTTGTGTTTTGTTTTTGTGATTATTGTATTTTATTAAATGTTACATTGCCTTTAATAAAAAAAAAAATAATAATCTGATACAGCACCTTTATTATAATATTCAGTGGGACCCATAGACCGTATATATAAATGGACATTGTTTACCCACAAGCCGCCATGTTCTAAATAGGAAGTGAGCATGGGGGCGCTTCTGGCTCCATCGACTCTGGCTCCAATTTACTTTATATTGAAAAATCGTCACCACTCTCTCTGTAACTGCTGCAGTGAGCCTCGTCATTTTGGTCTTAAAATGTTCGTATTAACCCGCTCTACATGCTCCATCCTTTTTATTTTGATATTTTGTCCATAAATAAATTCCGAATCATAAAATTGACCTGCCTCTAAATTCGGTCCTATAACTAATTTTTTAAAAATCTGATACGACACCTTTATTATAATATTCAGTGGGACCCATAGACCGTATATATAAATGGACATTGTTAACCCACTAGCCGCCATGTTCTAAATAGGAAGTGACCATGGGAGCGTTTCTGGCTCCATCGATTCTGGCTCCAATTTACTTTATATTGAAAAATCGTCACTCCTCTCTCCGTAAGCCTCATCATTTTGGTCTTAAAATGTTCGTATTAATCCCCTTTACATGATCCTGGTGTTTTTATTTTGATATTTTGTCCATAAATAAATTCCAAATCCTAAAACTGACCTGGCTCCAATTCGGTCCTGTAGCTGCCGACCTCGCTGAGCTTCATTTGACTGGAGTTGAGCGTATAGGAGACTTCTTTCTACCATACCAGGGCAAAAATGTAGGCTGAAGCATTGTTGTTGTTTTTAATTTTTATTGCGTAATCTAAATAAACAACTTTACTACACATTTGGGCAACTTTCCTATACCATAATTCATTAACAACGTAATTATTTATACATTTATATTCGCACAAACACAACACACAAATAAATCATAGCCTTAATTATACCGTGCAATTACACAACCTGCTTTCCTCTGCAGCGCCTCCATAAGACGCAGCTACATTAGGAACTAAATTGAGAGTAGCAATAGCCAATGATGGTCCAATTTTCATTAGATAGGGCGTCCCAATTCCCCATCGAAGCACGTTAAGAGAGTTAATGTTTATGACAAGGTAATGGACTTTGGGTTTATTTCCTCATTTCCTCCATTCTAACTGTAGTTTGCGCAATAATTATGAGAATTACTAGCAACAAATGAGGTGCTCTAATGTTATTATGCAAAATGGCAAAAGAGCACTGATGGATGCTATGCTGCAAATACGCTACAGGCACAAGCGTTACTGTTGCATGTTTTTGGGGAGAGAAGTTTTCCTCAAAAAATTGTGCATAAATCAATAGTTTTTACTTTAAAAGCTCAAACTTTTCTCTAACTTGATGTATTTTTGGAGTTGGGTTTGATGGGTGAATGTACGAGGCAATTAACTGAATAATTGCGACTAGTCAACTACAGAATTAATTGTTCATAAGAGCAATTGTTAACCGTAAAACACAAGTCAAAAGTCAGCAGTGTTAGTAAAACGCAATGTAAAAAAAGAAGAAGCAATTTGTGAGTTTCATGGATAATACACTATCTGTAATTATTCTCTAAAATATCGGTCTCCAACCTTTTTCCTCCAGTGAGCTACTTTTACAAAACGAAAATGCCAGAGAGCTACTCATTTTATTTAGTCAGGTTGGCGCCACCTAGTGCCTCCGCTCAATTTCATTTCTCTCCAGCAACTAGGTCAGGAATCGGAATACACTAAACGGTTCACAAAAACCCCGGAAGTGCAAGTTCGAGCACCAGTCAATCAGCGAAGAGCCATACATTCTGTGTTGTCAACGATTCCCGAGATCGAGGATTTAAAGCCAGAATAAAGAGAATGTTTGGTGAATTTCATCAAAGGGAAATACATTATTGTCCTTCTTCCTATGGGATTTGGGAAAAGTTTAATATACCAGTTAGCCCCGTTAGCGGCGCATTACATACGCCACGACTAGGGATGGGCATGATTAGTCGATTAATCAATAATTGATCATTAAGAATTTCATCGATTACGTTCATTGTAATTGACAAACCGAATGTAGGTTGCTGTGCGTAGGGTGACCAAACATCTGTGTCCGGGGACAAACAGGGGTCCGTACATGTAGGTAGCTCTCTGCACTCAGAAGGAGCGAGCAGACACAAACAGTCTGTCAGCCTGCAACATGCTGAAGCACAAATGCGTATTTAACGATGACTTGTACAAGAAATTCCACGCTTTCCATTCGGGACAAGTGTGAGGCCATGTGCACAGTGTACAAAGCAGGTACATATGTTTCGGTGTCCAGTGCGAAAAAGCTTTGCCAGGTGAGAGTCGCGCAATGTCGATGACGAGGCCCCAGATTGCAGATTAGTAGTGCAGATAGTAATAATAATGGCAAGGCAAGGCAAGTTTATTTGTATAGCACAATTCGTACACAAAGTAATTCAAAGTGCTTTACAGAATAAGAAATACATTAAAATCATAATAAAAACTAATCAAAACATAAATAATCTGATAATAATAATAATGATGATAATTTAGATTAAAAAAACGTTAATGATTAATCGATATTCGATTAATGCCCATCCCTAGACACGACGAAACAGCAGCAATTGGTTAAATGATAAAAAGTACCCGCCTACCGCCGAGTGAACGAATCCTAATGCTGCGAGGTCAGACAGTTTCCACGAAGTGA